AGGGGTTGAGGGGTTGAGGGGTTCAGGGGTTCAGGGGTTGAGGGTTTAGGGGTTGGGCTGAGGGGTTGAGGGTTCAGGCTTTAGGGTTTAGGGCTGTTTGTAACACCCTTTTTTTGCATGGGCTCTGTAGGACCTAACAGGGTCGTGCGCGGGCTTTGGCGTTCGGGGTTCAGGGGTTAGCATTCTGATTCGGATCGTCGGGCTTGGAATGGTTTAAGGTTTAGGCTTTAAGGCTTTGGAGCTGTAGGGTTTAGGGTTTACCCTAAACCCTAAACCCTACATCCTAAGCCCTAAACCCTAAACCCTAAACCCCATGAAGCTTCTGTAACCCCCAAGGCCCAAACACCTTGCAATCCCAACACCCCGAAGCACTAGAGCCTTGAATCCTGGAATCCCTGCACCTGAAGCCACACAGCCCCCACGGTTGATGATATCAACCCTGCACTACCCATAATAAGGAATGTACCAGAATTTCCATAGTTTAGGGTCCTTAAGGTAATGCAGAGTTTCTATCATCAACAGTATCACAGATTAGTCAACAGGGTGTTAGAAGGGTTTTGTAACTCAGACTAGGTTGAAGGATCCTACTAGTTGGGGCTTTGTTAACCCTAAACCATACACCCTAAACCCTACACCCTAAACCCGAAACCCTAAGCCCTAAACCATACACCCTAAACCCTAAACCGTTATGCCGCTGCCATGTCGCAGAGGTTTCCCAGCTGCCGGTTGAGCGGACGTTCATCCAATTCAACACCTGCGGCCGCATCCATCGCCGCCGCTCACGGTCCGTTTGACGCCTGGGCGCAGGAGTTTTCAGGCAGTTGAGGTCAGCAAAACCCTAAACGCTAAACCCTAAACCCTAAACCCTAGACCCTCAACCCTGCGCCTCGACCCTAACCCCGCAACCTTATCTAAGCCCTTAACGCTAGACGCGCAAGCATCGATAGCTCGGAACGCTGAATCTTAAAAGCCGAACCATAAAAAAAGCCATTACGCTGCATCCAAAGGGAAGTCAGGGCTCGCTGAGCGTCGCTGATGTATGGTGAGGGTAGTAAAATCAGGCTCCTGCAATTAGTACGAGCGCTCCGCGGGAAGCGCGGCTTAGGTCTTAAGTCTTAGGTGTTGGGGTTTAGGATTCAGGCGGCTAACATACTGATGGAGATGCAGACGAAGAGGAATACGGTTGCGAGAAAGTATAAGAGGATGATGATCAGAGTTCATGCAGGTTGTGATGGTGACGAGTAGGGATGGTTGCGGCCACGGCACTCATGATGCACGGCAGCCAGCTCGTACTGCTATGGCTGCTATGGCTGCTGCTGCTGCTGATGCCACGTACGACTACGACGACGACGACTACTGCTGCTGCTGCTGCTACTACTACCACGACGACTACTACTACCACTACTGCTACCATGACCACGACCACGACCACTCCACGACCACGACCACTGCCACGACCACGACCACGACCGCAGACCAACCACAGACCAGGACCACAGACCACGACCACGACCACGACCACCACGACGACGACGACTGCTAGCCGGCAACGACGACGACCCCTCCTACTACTACTACTACTACTACTACTACTACTACTACTACTACTACCACTACTACCGCTAATTGTCGTGGTGGAAGGGCTGAGTCCCCTCTCCTCGAAGGAGGCCCCCTGGCCTTTGAACGGAAGCCGGTAAACTGGTAAACAAAAGTTGCAAACATGGAAGTGTAACCAAATATATATATATATATATATGTATGTATGTATGTATGTATATATATATATGTATACATACACACATATATATATATATATATCACCCCATGGTCGTACGCCGTGGTTGAAGTTTCAGCGTGGGTGGCTGATGGTGAGAGAGGGAGATGCCTAGGAGCAACTCTTCCTCCGATCATGGGGCCTTCTGCGTGAGTGCTTGGGGGTTGTTTCAGGGTTTAAGTTTAAGGTTTAGGGTTTAGGGTTTGGGTTTAGGGTTTAGGGTTTCGGGTTTAGGGTTTAGGGTTTCGGGTTTAGGGTTCGGGCTTCTTTATGCTTTCTTTACATACCAAAGCTCTCAAAATGCTTCGGGTTATTGCCAGGAAAGCCGTCCGCGTGCTCGCCCGTTCTGAAGGCGACGTGGATCTCAGCAGCCAGACAGTGCTTGCTTGATTCCAGAAAGCCGAGGTCGGGTCAAACTCCCAAACCCCACTAAACCCTACATCCCCAAACTTCAAATCCCTAGAGCCCTAAATCCGAAATCCAAAACCCTAATCGGAGACGAAACCCCTACCTGATCCTTGAATCCCTACTGATTCCTAAACACCCTGATCCGTTTCAGTTCTGATCGTTCCTGCCTTGGAGCAGCATCCTGTATAGCTTGGAAAGAGCCGTAACGGCTCTTCCTCAACAAGGCCAGCAGCTTGGTAGTTTTTTGAAAAGTGGAAGCCCCCGCCCGCCACCCGAAATCCCAACCATCCCAAATTCCATCAAACCGTGAATAGCCCGAGACCTAAGCCTTAAATCCCAGACCCAAAGCCTCAAGCCTAAACCCTAAACCCTAAACCCAGGCCCAAAGCCCAAACCCTAAACCCTAAACCCTAAGCCCTAAACCCTAAAACCCAAACCCGAAGCCTAAACCCTAAGCCCTAAGCCTTAAATCCCAGACTCAAGCCTACAGTCCAAAGCCCAATGAGTCCCAAGACTGCAAGCCCTAAACCCTAAACCCTAAGCCCTAAGCCCTAATTTAGGGTTTAGGGTTTAGGGTTTAGGGTTTAGGGTTTAGGGTTCTAAGCCCTAAACCCTAAACCCTAAGCCCTAAGCCCTAAACCCTAAGCCCTAAGCCCAAAACCCAAGCCTAGACAGGCGCGAAATGGGAGCTTGAAGGAACAATTTTAGATAAACCCTCAACCCTCAAGCCTAAGCCCTAAACCCTGAAACCTTAAACACTTAAAACCCTACATCCTAGAACCCTAAACCCGAAGCCCTAAAACCTATAACTCTGAACCCCTAAACCTTAAACCCGAAACCCTAAAACTCTCAACCCCAATCCGACGCTCAAGAAATCCAGGCTTAGCTGGCCTTGGTCTCTCGCACCCGAGCAGGGCTTCCTGAAGACAGTTTAAGATAGGGGCCTTAATAATTAGAATAGGGTTTGGGTTTAGGGTTTAGGGTTTAGGGTTTTGGGTTTAGGGTTTAAGGTAGGGGCCTTAATAATTGGAATGGGGTTTGGGGTGTAGTATACTACAATCATGATAAGGAACCCCCCAAACCCTATTCTAATGATTAAGGCCCCTACATTAGTTGTTCCATTAAAGGTCTTCGGGTTCAGGGTTTTGGGCTTAAAGACAGTTTAGGTGTTCCTTTAAGGGCTTCTAGAAGTGTATAAAACCTAAACCCTAAACCCTAAACCCTAAGCCCTAAACCCTAAACCCTAAACCCTAAACCCTAAAACCTAAACCTCCGAAAGTTTAGGGTTTTTCGGGCAGTTTCCGGGTTGAAGGTTTGAGTTTGGCTCATAGGCATTAAGGACATCGTCACGGCTGAGGGGTGAAGTCATGTCTTTAGTGAAGCGTTGAAGCATACAGCACGTAGGGTTTGGGGCTTTTGTGGTTTTGAGTTCTTTTTTTGTTTTTTCGGGTTTGGGGGTGTAGGATTTGGGCGTGAGGGCTGCTGATTTAAGCAATCCAGGGGGCTAGGACAACTATAGTTTGGAGTTGGCTTACACGGGCCATGTCATAATGACTGAGGGATGTGGGCAGTAATCCCTGCTGCCGACCCAGACCATCAACCTTAAGCCCTAAACTCCAAACCCCTAGACCCTAAACCCCGAAGCCCCAGACCCTAAGCCCCTACACCCTTAAGCCCCTTAAGCCCCAAACCCCGAAACCCCAAACCCTACATCCTCAAATCCTAAACCCTGAATAAACCTTATACCCCTAAACCCTACATCCTTAAATCCTAAACCCTGAACCCCTCATCTCCCGAACCCTCGTCTTCTCCGCCCGTGTCACGGACTCATTACCTTTAAGGTTCGAGGGTCAAGGGCCATTGTCACTGAGCCAGATGCTCAAATCGATGGTTTTTGGGGTTTAGGGTTTCGGGGTTTCGGGGTTTTGGGGGGTTCAGGGGTCTAGGGGTGTAGGGGTTTCGGGGTTTAGGAGCTTTGGGTTTAGGGTTTGGGGTAACATCTTTCTGATGAGTTTTTACGCCATGCTCGGGTGTTGTTTCAAAACTGGCCGTTTCGGCTGCAAGAGTTGTGCGAAAGGTTGCCAACTTCACCCTGCTTGCCCGATGGACGGTTACTGCGGAACCTTAAACCCTAAACCCTTATCCCTGAAGCCTAAGCGCAAATCCCTACACCCTTATCCATAAACCCTAAGGGCAAATCCCAAAACCCTTATCCCTAAACCCTAATCCCTAAACCCGAAACGTCAGTCCAAAGCCCCCAATCCCTAAACCCTTAAACCTAGACCCAAATCCCTAAACTCTAATCCCTAAACCGTGAATCCCTAAACCCTAAACGTAAATCCCCAAACCCTAATCCCTAAACCACTTGGGGTCGGGTCGAAGAGTCGCAAGGATTGAGCTCTGTTTGGACAAGTTGCTACCCTTGCAGACAGGCCTCGCGCCAGCTTTAGGGCTTTAGGGTTCGGGTTTAGGGTTTAGGGTTTAGGGTTTAGGGTTTAGGGTTTAGGGTTTAGGGTTTAGGGTTTAGGGTTTAGGGTTTAGGGTTTAGGGTTTAGGGCAGCCTTTGTCATGCCCAAGTTCTCAGCGGCACTCTGCTTGTCTGGTGTGATGGCAACCGCTGTCGGTGTCGTCACTTTCGTCATCTTTACTCCCGTTTGTCTCCTGCCGTTGCCATCACGATTGCTGTTGAATCTTCGCCCCAGCGCGGTCATTAGTACTTCCCCCAACAGGGTCACGACCAGGTGCGCTCCAGGTCGCGCTGTTGCACGGTAAAAGTGTGTTCTCGCCAGTCACCGTCATTTTGCGTGTTTTGGGTGGAAATCGTGCTTCCAAGTTCCCATAGTCCCATACTCAATCCTCGACTTCACTACAGTCGTGGCAGGGCAGACCATGCCGAACTGTGTGTTTTGATGGCCCGGTTTCAAGGCCTCTCGGCTTCACAAGACCTTTCGACTGCACACCTGTGCGGTGCTGTTTCCGCCCGACCTCTCCGTTTCCGCCTCACGACTCAAATCCTAAACCCTAAACCCTAAACCCTAAACCCTCAAGACTCAATAACCTAGCCGGAGAGTCATGGGCCAGGGCACTTAACCTGGAGATCGCCCACCAGCAACCGAAACGCACGACGCTGGATTCTTATGTTAGGAAGATGCCCATCTCACCAAACTGGACGCGCCTGCCCTGGAGGCCGCAGACAACTTCAACACATGTTTTCGGCACTTCAAACGCAACTGGACTCGAGATTGGCCCCTGTCTCATGCTGGCCCTCCCTGCCCGCTCATTTCGCGATCAGTATCATCATCGTCATGCTGATGGCACTGACCGCACAGTGACATCATCGTCATCGTCACCATCATCATCACCATCGGACCATGTCAGCCTTTTTGTGATAGTCATCGTTTCCTTTGCCCCTCTTTCGGCGGTCGGCAATTTATCTCAAAACTACTTCCTTGCTCCCAGTCTTTCTAGCATCGCTTAATGCTAAACTAAGCCGCAACCATTGAGGGCAAGTGCCGGTGACCAAGGGGCTCGAAGACCACGTTGCGCAACTCCCAAGCCAAAGAGCCCAATATTTGTCAAATAATGAATGTAAGATACACTTCTACAGGGC